AGGATGGAAGGATGGATGGATGGATGGAGGCATGGATGGAGGGATGGATGGAGGGATGGATGGAGGGATGGATGGAGGGAGAGAGGCAGGGATGGAGGGAGGGATGGAAATATGGATGGAGGGATGGATGGATGGAGGGATGGAGGCGGGGATGGAGGCAGGGATGGAGGGATGGATGGAGGGAGGGATATGTCTGTAGGCACAGCGGGGCATGGACCAGGGGCTGCTGACATGTGGTGGGGGATCACAAGTCCAGAGTGCCCCAGCTGAGGTTGGGTTTATCGGTCAGCTTGCTTTGAACCCCCTCCCTGCCTGTCCTGCCTGCTGGTGTCCCTCAAGGCAGGAACCAAAACACACCCAGGGCTGGGGAAATGCTGTGCTCACTGGGAAGTGGAAAATAAGGTTTGTAATCCGCATCTGAAGCAGAAACCAACAGGGGTATAAACGACTGCTTAATAACTGCATGGTGGGGCGGGGATCTGCACATCGGCCCTCTGGAGACGCGATGCCCAGGCCCCAGCCTGAACATCTCAGGCTGTGAGGGATCCCAGCCCAAAATCACATCCTCCAGCCTCAAATCCACCCTCTTTTCTCATGCCAGGAAGACGGGAAAGCTTTCTTTAACTAAAACCTTGGTCCTAATTGAGTAAGAACATCCAGATTTGTCTCTTGCTTGTCTATTTCGCCTTTGCTGTGTTGGCTTTTCCACGGTTGTCTTTTGTGTTGCTTTCTACTGTGAGGATATGAAGATATTCAAAATCACCGCTGTCACTAGAGCTAGGAGCAGCACCCTGGGTGAAATACCTCCCTTTTCCTCCTTTCCACCCCTGTCCAGACCATGATGCTCCTTCCCAGTGATGTGGCAGTCTGGACTGCCAGGACCCAGCAGGATTTTGGCCAGGGATGGCATCACCCCATAGCTGTCCTGCTTGGTCACCGTCCCCTCCCGAGACGTGCCAAGTCAGCGCTTGGCATGAGCTGCTTGCCTTCACCGTGAACGCATGCATCAAGTCCTGCAGTCCTCGGGAGAAAGGACCTGCAGGACATCGTAGGCACTTGTTTTCATGTATTAAAGACATTTTGTTAATGCTTTTTTATTTTTTTTCCTTTTTTCCTTTCCATTGCATCGCCTTACGGATCTAAACAAACTTGTCTGGGGGTGCTGGCAGGGGAAAGCAAACAGGGACAGACTAAACTCTCTTCTAGCCAAACGCTTCAAGAGCGAACGTGCCCCACCGCACAAACCAGCAGCCGAGTGCCGGAGCCAAAGATAAATAGCGTCCCTGCAGCCGGAGTCCCGGGCAGGGAAGTAGCTGTCGTGGGAGAAAAGTATACAGCTGGAGACAAAGCCAGGAAGTTAATATTTAAGCATTCAGACAAGGAACAAATGACTTAATTAAATCAATTACAGAGGGAGAAATGGAGCCACTTAGAAAGCGTGTGTAAAGAGACGGCAAGGCTGCTACTATCTCATAAAAGAGAAGAAGGGAGAGTTAGCGGGGAAGATAAACGGACTGGTCTAATCCCTGCTGTTAATTAAGAGCCGAGCATTTGCACTGCGCTGAGTCAGGGTCGCACCAGCAATTCCATTACACAAACCACATTTGCAGCCGAGCTCAGAGCCCAATCTACAGAGACACTTGTAACCAGACGGGGTAAGGGAGAGGCAGACCGAGATGTGGGGAGGGATGAAAGCAGGGCAAAGAGGTGATGTAAAAGTTTGTCCACGCTTCTAAACCTCCCGCACCTTGCACCAAACCCAGCCCTTGCCCTGCACCTTCCCCGGCAGCAGGGCTGGGGTCAACCTGCCGCGCGAGGAGGGGACCTTCCTCCCTTCTTCAGCACGAGAAATTCCTGCATGATCCCCCAGTGATCCCTCCAAAGAAGGGAAAAGGGAGGACTGTGAAAACATCAATGCAACGCTTTGCCCAGTATGGAGATTTCACCCCAGAAGATGCTTTGCTCTTATTCCTGACTTGCTGCAGGGTGGAAAGCAAGGCTATTTCCTAGTGTGACTTCCATTTAAATGACTTTTTTCCTTCCTGCTGCTCCCTCCCCGAATGTAGATGCTTCAAATACACCCAAGGAGAGATGGAGCCGGGCTGAAGTCGGCTCCAGGCTGTAGGAGAAGGGCTCACCGCTCGTGGGGGGACTGCCAGTTAAAGCACGTTTGGGTTCAGAGACACATCACACACAGTGTCAGCTCTCGCTCTGCCCGACAAAAAGACATACTTGCTCCGGGAAGTGTTCCCTGGGGTTTTCTCAATAGGCAACAAGCAATTACAGGCTTTTGTAACCAACAAAACAGTTAAAGCACGACCTGGAAGTCTCCGTGGGAAGCAGATTGAAAGTGGTTGACAGCTTTGGGGCAGGGAGGTTTCCTCTGTGAGGCCACTTCAGACATCTCCCTCCTAAGCTTTTAAAGCCTTAACGTTAGATTTCAGGCCAGTGATGTAGAGAGTTAATAGTTTTGAGCAAGTTTGCCATCACTCCTTGTAAGTAAATAAGCAAACACAAACCCATCTCCCATCTAAGGCTGCAAAAATGCCATGTCAGAGAAAGGCCACCGATGTGTTTGCAAAGTACGATCTTCTCCAGAATAATCAGTTGTTGAAGAGCAAAAAAAATTTGCTCTTCCCCATGTAACAACGGAGATTTTTCTAAAAAAGGGGTAGAGGCAAAGCAAACTCAGCGCATCCTTCCGCAGCCCCATCCCTGCCCTGCCTGCGCCGTGGGGTTACCCCTCCTGCCGTGGGGCACGTGGGGTGGCAAAGACCTGTCTGCCGGGCACCCCAGGCAGGTGTCCAAGGGCCATGTCACATCACCGCCACACCAGCTCGGAGCTGGAAGCGTGACACGCAAACCAGTCGAGCATCGCTTCGAGTGGCAGCGGGCACTTCAGCGCCGCTCTGGAAAATAGCCGCCGTTCTGCGCATCCGCTTCAGCCTGTTTAAACCCCTGGCCACGCTCCTAACGGGCTTGGGGAGACTCTGATGCTCTGTACCATGGCAAAACATATGGAAACAGTTGGAAGAAAAAGAACCGAAAAAAAAAAAAAAAAAGAAGACATCAGTAACTCACCTGTTTTTGTTCTTCTCCCAAACTGTCCCACATTGACGCGACGATTTTCGATACGTCTCCGAAGGTGGCGTTGGGGTTTTGCCCTTTGATGGCTGCTTGCGTGTCTCTGAAAAACAGGGCGTAGGCTGACACGGGCTTCTGGGGCTCATTGGGATCCTTCTTTTTCTTCTTCTTCTGGCTTTTGGGCTTTTTGCCCAGGTCTGTTGATGGTCTTTTCTCTCCAGTAACCTGCAAAACCAAGAGAGGAACCTTAGCACTCAGCTTGGGGTAGTCCAATACGAGTCCCTGCTATAGCTCGTTGGCAAAGGGGACAAGAGAGGGCACAGGTAGAGAAGGGCTCCCAGTGTGGCGAGGAGGGCAGCAGCTCTGGGGGTCTCTTTGCCCCCCCAGGAGCCTCTAGGATCATCGCATGAACTGCTGGTGGGTGCCTGAGCCCAGCTTGGGTGCCTCCTCACAGCCCGGCTCACAGCTTGGATTCGCCCCTTGCAGCTCCAGCGCTCCCTGCTTCGAAGCTGGGGCTTCCCGGACACTCATCCTCGGTCGTCCCCCCTCCCTCCTCCTCCTCCCCGGCATCACAAGCTCTTTCTCTCCTTGATCCTCTTCTGGGACCTCTCCAAACGCCTTCCTTCCCAGTCAGATCCCTTTAGCAGTCCATTAATTTTTCCAAACTCAGCTTCCACGTGATTTCTGGTTTCCAGCCCAATAATCCCCCTCGGCAAGCTGTTTAAACGACTGTCCTCGCCCCCCAAAATGTGCCGGCAGCTCAGCCTCCAGGCTCCCCAGGCAGGAGGGTCACGAGCACTGCCCAAGCGGTACCACCATCGCCATTGGCCATCACACCGTGGCCACCCGAAACTTGCTTCACCCTGCTAACAGGTACGTGCATCTATCCAGGAAAAATATCCAGGAATTGAACTATTTTAATCTTATGTATTAAATGTTTTTATCTCGGTTGGAAGGGACTATGCTCCGCTCACTCTTTACGACCAGTCTGGGTGCAGCCGGGTGACTGGGACTGGCTGTGTCCAGGCTGGGTGCCCTGTGGGTGGTTGGACCGAGGGGAGCAGGACACAGGCAACAGTAGCTGGACTTTGTGGCTGCTCAGCACGAGACACTGCCACCGGGCTGGGCAGTAAACCGGCAAGGTGGAAAGGGGGATGCTTCCAGTGAAGGCAGCACAGAGCCTAAGGCTGAGCCTCCGCCGGGATGCGCTGAATACACAGGACCGCAGAAGCCTCTGTGTGATGGTGTGCAAAAGAGAAGACCCCTGGAAAGCACTTGGACGTACATCAAAGCTCTCAAGGCGTTAACTGCGGTCGGTGAAAGCTTGCACTACAGGGAAGCACCATTATCCTTATTTTATAGCGGAGGGAAAAATGAATACACCAGAGGTTAAGCACCGCTGAGAATAAACCCGCCGCTGCCAGCTGGCCGCGGCACTCTGATCTCTGCGCCCGGGAGGGCAGACAGGGCATCAGCACCTCCGCCGGCAGACCCACTGTGCGCCGGCACCCCGTGCTCAGCCGCTACCTGACTGCGGCAGCCCTCGCTCCACCCAGTGCGCGGGCTAAGGATGTTACTTCGAAAGTTGCCCGGTCTGTCACTTAAGAGGTCTAAAAAAATAAATAAATAACAATAAAAAAAATAAAAAATGTTCAAGTGACAGAGGTCTAAACACCAAGCCGTCGCGGGAACTGTGCTGCCCGCCGAGGGCTCTTCTCCCAATGGATTTGCCGATTCCATCGCGCGCTTGGAAGCACCGGGATTTAAGAGGCTTCACTTCAGCCGGCACAGGGAGGAAAAGGCAGCAGCGCTCCTGTCCTCCGCTCAGCAGCTCTTGACTGGTCATTAAGTTCAGTATCAGCGCAGTGACATTTGTCAAACAGACAGTGACCATTAGTGAATGAGCAGAGAGACAAAAAAAAAAAATAAAAAAAGATCGCCTTTAATTTAAAATTGTCCAATTGGGCTTGAATGGGAGGCCTGGAGGTGAAAGGCCAGCTTATTAGGGGAAAAAAAAAAAATGCATGACAGGGCTTCAGCCCATTAGCAAGTGGTATTTTATATATATTAGCGATGGTGTTTTAACTAACTGTAACCCTGTTTGATTCACTTAAGTGCCGTGGAGGGGGGGAGACCTGCTCTCCTCACAGCCGTTGACCCAGCGGAGGAGCCGCACCGCAGCCATGAGGAGGGTTTTACGGTCCGTCTTGCTTAGGCAGCACCAAAGAGCAAACGGTATTTATGGCAAACAGAATTTTGCCTGCAAGGCTGCCCGGAGCCGGCAGCCCCCAGGAGGGAGCGGAGCAGATCAGGACTTTGCCTGGTTCTGCTCAGGGGGGGCGGTTTAGAAGGTGCGACGCAGCACGGGATGAGACAACGACCCAGCCCGGGGCTGCAGAAGATGTTTGAACAACCTAAGCCACGTTCCCGGCTAAAGGCAAAGCCCGGCGAGCCAGCGCCTCGCTGCCCCACAGCTTCTGCATCCCCCGAGGGGTGAGCCGTGGTCAAAGCGACCGTGAAGGCTCGTGCAGCGGGATGAAGCGCACGGCCACCAGCCCCTGCATGGACCTGCTCTGGAGAGGCAGCAGGAGGTATTTTTAACACCAGATGGGGACTGGGGCAGTTCACCGGTGACAGATGTGATCCTGTAACCTGGTGGCTCGGTGCCTTCTGAGATGCTGAACCTATGAAGAGCAGGAACTTCAGGGACACCGTGATTTTAGTAACTATGGAGACAGATCACTAATCCAGCTGGAATCTGGGCTATAACTACCTCTCCCTCCCATGCATGTGTACACCCCACCCAAAGCAAGTAAATGCATTGGTGAAGCTGGGAGACCTCCTAAAATCGTAAGGACCTACTGGACCTGAAGCACCCACTGGCATCAGACTCATTTCTTTAATGCGTGACCTTCTCAGTTACAAGATTAATTTTTGCTTGTTAGATGACTTGTTGCAGAAAAGCCCTTAATGGCCATACGAAAAATGACGGATGGGTGAATACAGCCGCTGTGCAGACAGAGCAAACAGAAACCTGCAGGGCACAGCGCGCTTCTGCTGCTGTCTCTACACTTACTCCTTCTTCCAGCAAATACACCACTTCTGTTCCACCTGTCTTGTTGGGTAGTTTACAGGGCAGGAAAATGAGGGGGTGTGCCTTTACGATTAGGAAAAAATTCAAATCTCTGCAAATTGTCATCGTTTGGACATTTCCAATTCTTCCCACTCCCACAGGCGTCACTGGCCCAACGAGAACAGAAGATCCAACCCCAAAGCCGTGTCCTCCCTAGTGACTCCTGTGGCCCCGGCCAGCTGAGGGAAAAGCTGGGTGATACTGAAAGAGGCAGAATGAGAGAACCTGGTGTGTAACTAAGCTGAAACTCATTTTCCACTGACATGAAAGATTTCAGCTACCAGGGAATGGCCTGGAGCTGTGTGACACGGGCTCTGGGAGAGGGCAGACTGTGGGGTCCAGCAGTAGGACCCATCCCCCAGTGTCCCCCAAGTGTGGAATTGAAGAGTTTGAGATTCTCCATCTATTTTCAATCATGTGTATCCCTTCCTTTTACAGTTTTATCTCACTGAAGCTCAGTTTTCGCATCCACGTGTGCACTCTGCTTTGAAACATCCTGATCTGAAGTGAAAGATGCCAACGGATGAAAAACTACAGGATTGATGGGAATACATTTGCCTAGATTTCAGAGTCATAGAATCATTTAGGTTGGAAAAGACCTGTAAGATTTCCATGGAAAGGGAAAGGCTTTTGCTCAGTCCTAGCGTGTTTGCTGCTCTGGTTATACACTCAAATCCTGTTTTTTAGGGGACAAGGTTACAATACCGGTGCTTTCACTGTCATCCTTGGATCAGCACCTTCCAGGAGAAGGTTTTCCACGAAAAGCTTTAATCAAAGTCCCCCAGGGAGCCCAGTGTTTGACCTGCAGGCGTGGAGACCCGCCGGGTGTCGAGGCAGCAACCCTGCGATGGCTGCAATTTGTCCTCGGTGAATAACAGACGGAAGCCCCACAGAACACAGCATGTGTTGTTGGCTTTGCTGGTGCATTTTGAGAAAGATGGGCAACAACCAAGACGTCCCCAAAACCCTAGGAAACCCTGGGGTTTCTGGATGCCATGCTCACCGGCGGTTGTGCTGGCTGTGCAGGCAGACTCTGTGCCACTAAGACATTGATGACTACCTAAAACACTGCCCAGGAGAACTCAAAGGCAGAAGATTATTCCTCTTTTGATTTCTGGTTGGGTTTTTTTTTCCCTTCTCAAGCCATGTCTGGTGAGCTCAGTCACATCCCACCCTGCGTTCCTGTCCTTCCCTCTTTTAGTCTCCTCTACCTGCCGCCAGAAATCTAATTTTCACCCAAGCATCTGCAGAACCTTAGCCCTGAACGTGCTTCGCTCGTCAAAACCCTCAGTCGGAGGAAACTCTGAAGCTTGATGGACCTGGTAAACCGTGGAGAGAAAAGCCCAACTCTCGTTGCCAAACTTGCTGCATGCACAACCCAAGCACGTGTGCTCGCCTGCCATGCTGTACCTCACCCTACGCTGGAAACGATCTCCCCATCCTTGGGAAAGTCTCCCACTATATATATATATGTATATATTAAAAAGAAAAAGAGCGAAAAGTCTGTGTTCTTATTCCGCGCAATTTATCCCTCACTGAAAAACATCATCTGCTGTTCTCTCGTTGTCTGTTAAAACAGGTGTGACCGCACGTACCTTATAGTGTGACTCTGTCTCCTCTTCCTGAGTAGAACTGGAGGGAGATGGTGTAGCCGACTTACTTCCCGGGGGCGATGGGGAACCGTGGGTGACACCGCTCCGCATCCCCATCTGTGAAATCAGCTGTGACTGACTGAGAGCGCTCATGGGGCCGGCTAACATCCCGGGGCGATTGAGCAGGGGCACTTGACGGTTGGACTCATAGGACGTGGCGTCCGAGTGGACCATCTCCTGGATCTGAGTTAGGAGAATATCACTTTGTGATTAAAAAAGGTATTTATTTCTTTATCACACTGTCAAATCACTTTACGATGAGCTCTTATCGACTGATTTAAAGTTATTCTACACAGATGGTAAAGTCTTCCTCGTGCCCCCTTCCAAACAAGCCATGAGCAAGAGATGAGCACCATACACCCGGGGCTCTGCTCCCGCCATCGCCCTGCCCGCGGGGACTACAGAGAGGTGCTAAATTGTCTTTGCGCATATGTCTGTGAGCCCAGGAGGTGCCCCCCGCCTGCCTCAGGGACCAGTGGTGCCTGGTACCCACCAGGGGTCTGAAAGAAAAGTTCAGAAATGAGCAATTTTTGGTGAAATGACCAGGAAAAGGGAGAGCGTTGCAATGCCCTGGGCATTTCTGGGGCCAAGCTTTGCCGCTGCACACGCGAGGCCATCGCTGAGCACCGGCATGTGTCATACCAGGGTACTCAGGGTACTGGGGGCCCGTGGGTGACAGTCCAGCCCTGGTACACCAGCGATGTGGCGTTAGAGGCCATGGATCCCAAACACGCTTTTTCTGGGCCATACTTGGCATTGACATCTAGTAACTGCACAGATGAAAAAATATCTGCTTCTCTGAGTTTATGAAGGTGCCACAACCAGCCCTTCTGCATCATCCGTACGGCTGTTGGGTCGCTAGTGCTACTGGGGTTAAACATAGAAGTAGTAAGCACAAACGGTGTCCGTGGAAGCCCCAGGTCCCCACTCCCCCCCACATCGGTTTGCCCAAAGCTGTGACACTACCATCAAACCAGAGGTTTGTACGTCCTCGAGCCCCAGAGGCAGTGAGAACCAGGGCATGGCCCGAGAGGGACCCCAACGCACGGGGACAAGCTCTACTGGTGGCCACCGCCTCATTACAGCTCCTCCAGGAGACGACTCTTCTGATTTTAAATATTGTAATTGGTTCCAATCCCACTCAAAATTAATATACCAGAAAGAAAAAAAACCTTCAGACAAGGGCACAGAAAATGATTGGCTGCCTGTTAAAATTCCCCAGCGAGGGAAGGGACCAGAAGCGATGCACGTGTGTGCACACGGAAGAGATGACAGAAGTGGCTACCTGATAGAGTCGTCCCCCAAAATAAAGAGTTTCCTAACATCTATTTATCTGTTCTCATAACTCAACAGTGAGGGTACATCTGATGGGGCTCAAAGGTGACTAATCACACACGGCCGCAGGGACGCACGGACATGGCACCGGCCATCGGCACAAGCGCGGCCTCCTGAGGCTGCTGAGCACAACAGCCTTGAAAGATCTGAAATAAAAATGAAACATATATATATATGGCTAATAAGAAATGTCAAATGCTACATTAGACAAAATAAAAACATCTTAGGAAGCATATATCCCCCCACGTCCTGGCATAAACCAAAGTTCAAGCGGTTGGGTCAGGCAGGAGCAGCCATAAGCCCCTGTCCCGGCCTCGGAGGGAAGATGAGCTGTAGGCGCACGGGAGGTTTTGTGCTGCCCTGCTGTCTGCTGAGCCAAGACCCCATTTCCAGTTTGTACCATTTTTCCCTGAAAACCCCGTTTTCACCCCAGGATCCACCCCTAGGCAGCAGGGCTCAGCCACACCACGGAGCACAGCATCATCCAGCCATGGAGGAAACCAGTGGGAGGGAGAGCATGCCCTGCTTGAAATGTTTTCCAGACTTTTTCCCTTTTATATTAATCTGATTAATGTTAACATGAGTTTAAAGACCCGGGCTTTATTTATTAACAATCTTCATTTTCGATAAGCCCGCTGAGGTGCAATCTCTCGTTACCAGGGGAGGTTTGCCAACTCCATTAGCAGCACGTACAGAAAAGAAACCCAGGGAAGACCTGAAAGGCTCGGTAGGCTTCCGAAGAAATAAATCCGAACACAAAACCAGATTTATTCCTGCAGGTCAGGAATCAAGAGCTTTACGCAACACCCGACGGCGCATTCTGCTCTCTTTTGGATTCTCCCTCAGTAGAGCAGTGTGTGTCAGGGGAACAGATTTTCCCAGATCTGCCCTTCTTTTTTTTTTTTTTCTGTATTAATTACGAAGCGCGGGGATTTAATTTGCAGGAAAAAAAGAATGTCCTGCATTTCAACAGCATGAGGAGTCTGACCGAGGCTGACTTAGAGACCAGGCTGAACTGCTGGGCCTCCGCTTTGGTGGTCTGCAAGGAAACTCCAGCTTCCAGCGGCAGCAGGGCTGGCTTTGCTCCGCCACGGAGCTGGGAAAACTCCCTGCTGCCTGAACTACGGCGAGTTTTATGTGCCCGTAAAACCCGCCTTATTGCGGAGGTCTGGCCGCCCCTCGCCACGCGCTGCGGCGTGGGAAATCCTGGCCGAAAAGACACGGAGGATGCGCCCACCGCAGCCGAGCACGGTGGGGATGCGGACACGGGGCTCAGGCGGCACAGGAGGTGTCGAGAGGCGATTTTTGCATTTGCAATTGGATTTGCAAACAGTCGTGGGAATGGGCAGGGGTGCAACGGGGAGCCGGCGAGGTGGGGAGATGGGTCAGGAACCCTCTGCCACACCAGCGGCAAGCGCCTTCCCGAATTCCAGGGGAAAAGGTACGTCTGTCTGGGATTTTGTCAGCTCAATCTAGACCTTGCGCGTTGGAGAAGATCTGCCAGCTGCTATGGAAAAGAATAATTTATTGTCCTTATTTTAAATTTAAATGAAGAAAAAAGTTCAGAAGATGGGTGTTTTAGAATATGGGGAAGGCTATGAAATGTGGCTTAAAAAATTTTAAAATTTAAAATAGCTCCTTCACGTTTGCAGCCGTGGCATTCTCTTGGGTAAATACTGTATTAAGACAATTTTTTTGAAACTTTTATTATGTGGCCAATAGACCACAACAGCTCCGTTTATCCATTAAATATGTAATCATACACTTTTTCTTTACAGTGCATGTTATTTATGCATCGGAGCAGAACAAGTCCAGGAGTGCAATTATGGATATGGGCCACGTGCTGCAAATGCTTATGAAAATTGGTAGGAAAAAACAGAAACCTGAGCCCTGGCTCAGAGAATTCGTGCAGAAGCCTCCTGCTGACAGCAACCCAACCACAAGCCCTCTCTTAAAAAGCGGAGACACTGCATTTTTCACAGAATCACAGAATGGTCAGGGTTGGAAGGGACCTCTGGAGATCACCAACCCCATTTTCCTGGGGCATTCCCCCCCCCCCCAAGGACACCTTGGCCCAGATGCCTCCTCCCAAGCAGCTGCCTGTTTCTTTAAATCATTAAAAATTGGTGGTTTTACTTAAAACCTTTGCGGAACGTTGCTGGTTCTGACCCCCATCCATCTCTCCATCTCTTCCCACCCTGGCCAGGAGGTGTTGCAGAAGGACACGTGCGACTATGCTCCCCATGTGTGACCCTCGACAAACGTGACCATCGGCAGTTCCATCCCCACCTGAGGAGGGCCTTCTCTCCTGTGAGGGCGGCAGAGCAGTGGCAGAGGCTGCCCAGAGAGGTGGGGGAGTCTCCCCCTCTGGAGCCATCCCAAACCCGCCTGGACGCCGTCCTGTGCCACTGCTGGAGGTGCCCCTGCTCTGGCGGGGGGTGGGATGGGGGAGCTCCAGAGGGCCCTTCCCACCCCCACCAGTCTGACTCTGTGACCGTGCTGACCGCTGTCTGGAGGAGCAGGATCTGGCCCCATCCTTTGCCGCTCACCAGATTTCTCTCCATTTCCCCTTTTTAAAAAGAAATAAAAAATAAATACAGTTTTGGAACAACACACCAGGTTGCCACCTCCCCATAGCCCCTGCCCACAGCTCCCCACGTCCTCAGGACTGGAGAGGGCGAGTGGTGGAAAAGCCATGTAAAATGATGTAAAATGTTTTGGGGGAAAATGGAGGTGAGCGGCATGTGTGCGGCCCCAGCACTCCTCCCGTGGGCCTTGGGGTGACAGTGGCCTTCGCCCCCGCTGGGGAAAGGGTTAGTCCCTCTCTCCGCTGCGACACCCTGCAGACGCTGAGCTATTTTAGGGGCCTTAGCTGTGCACCCAAAGTAGCTAATACCTGCCCCAAGGAAGTCCCAAGGAAAGAGAAACCCAGAAGCAGCACTCCGAGATGCTCCCCTGCAGCTAACTGCCTAATTAGGCATGTAAATGAAGAATGAAATCCCGATGATGGCCAACCAAAGAGAGAGAAGGTAACGAATGCTGCATTCCCCCTGCAAAAACAACCAACCTCTTCTCCCGCGGCACACCGCTCCGGTGGGATGCAACCCGTGCTGCGGGCTCACCGGGGCTGCACCGGCACCCTTTCCCTCCGCAAAGCATTCAGCATCCCCCTGGAACCCGACGGAAGCATACGCGTAATTAAATAACCGCCCTGCAAAGGTGATTAGCTCCATCACCAGGAGGGGCGGCTCTGAGAGCCGGGTCAGATCCTGTCTCCATCCCCGGTGCTCAGTGCCACAAGCTCGCCGGGAGGTGCTGCGAAAGGCTCGGGACCTGTTTGCCGCCTCAGCTGGAAAGACGTTTTGTATCTCAGAGGAAACACGAGTGAAATGTGATGTAGTCATAGCTAAAGTAATTAAGTGCATCTTACTTAGCAGATTCCCAAAGGCTGTGCTAACTCAAAGACGGCTTTTTTTTTTCCCTCCACAATATTTCAATTTTTTTAATGAATATGCATATCAAGCCTATAAACGCTCCAGCTAATCCTAAGAAGGATGGAAACCAGGCTGACAAACGGCACGTGCTCCGCGCTTTTCGTTTTTGGGGAGAAGGGTAACCCAGTGCGAGTGACAAAACGCCACGAGGCAGAGCCTGGCTGGGGACACGGGCGCTCTGCGAGCGGAGATCCTGCAGATTACAGAATCATCGAATAATTTGGGTTGGAAGGGACCTTTAAAGGGGCGATGCCCCAGGGCTGGAGCTGTGCCTGCTATCACTGGTCTTGGCCATCATCTTGTACCCGTCTGCTTTACAGGGCTCTGCTTTAGCGCCCGGGGCGGGGGCTGCGT